TCTGTGATCACTACCTTGAAATTCTTAATGATTTAATGTTTTACTTCTGTTTTCTAAGAGAAATCCCATAAGTGGTTGAAACACGTGTGAGCAGAGGAGATGAACTGGGCAGGAAGATACAGGACAGGAGCACATGCAGGCTCAGGTTTATGGTCCCAGCAGGGAGAGTGAGTTAAACAGTTGTCAGGGTCACCTGCTGTGCCTATGCATAACCTTCACTATCTGGGGCTCTGAGAAGGAGCAAAGGGGTGCAGTAAACTTTGTCGATAGATTATCACAAAATGAAAGTGTGTACATGAACATTTCTGTAAAGTAGTTTGGCAGTTTCTAACAAAAGTAAACATACTGTTACAATACAAACCAATAATAGTGTTTCTGGGTATTTACCCAAAGTGGTTAAGAAGTTATGTCTGCACAAGATCTTGTCTAGTAGTGTTCATAACAGGTTTATTCATAATTGTCATACTTGACGGCAACCAAGATGTCCTTAGTAGATGAATAAATAAATAAATGGCGGTACATCCAAACAATGAAATGTTATTTAGTACCAGAAAGAAATGAGGTATCAAGCCCTGAAAAGATAGAGAAACCTAAAAGCACATTACTAAATCAAAGGAGGCAATCGGAAAAGTCTACATAGAACAGGTTTATTCATAATTGTCATACTTGACGGCAACCAAGATGTCCTTAGTAGATGAATAAATAAATAAATGGCGGTACATCCAAACAATGAAATGTTATTTAGTACCAGAAAGAAATGAGGTATCAAGCCCTGAAAAGATAGAGAAACCTAAAAGCACATTACTAAATCAAAGGAGGCAATCGGAAAAGTCTACATAGTGTATGATTTCAACTATATGATATTCTGAAAAAGGCAAAACTATAGAGATGGTGAGATCAGTTGTTGTCAGGGGTTGCAGCGGTATCCAAGGGTTGAGAGGAAAGCGAGGAAGACTAAGCAGAGCAAAGAGGATTTTAACGATATGAAACCAGTCTCTGTGATACTATAATGATGCATACGTGGCATTATACATTTGTGTAAGCCCATAGAATGTACAACACCAAGAGTAAACCCTAATGTAAACTCTGCACTTTGGGTCGTTATGACATGTTAATGTATGTTTGTCAGTTGTAAGAAATATACCACTCTCGTGAGAAAGCTCATGTGTGGGGGTAGGAGGCATATTGGAACTCTCTGTACTTCTTTCTTTTCCTGTTACCATAAAATAACTAAAAAGTAGGTCTTAAAAAATTAATCTCATCTTAAACAAAACTCATTTGTAAGAGTTAAAGAATTTTAGAAATGTGTTCCACTAGAAACATTACCTAATGTCATTTCCCAGTGCTTCTCTAAAAAAGAGATCTTATTTCCATTTTGCACTGGATCTCAAAAATAATATAGCCAACATTGGCTGGGCATTTTATACCCCCAAACTAACCTTGCAAGGTGAATGACCAGAAGGCATAACGCAATCGAGTTGTTGTAGAAAGTGCTTCTTGCTTTGCATTTTATTAAGCTCAACCAACTCCTCCAGGTTCTCCCAGTTGTGGAGATTTTCTTTCTCCTTTTCCTACAGGATTTATATGATATGCTATAGATACACATATAAGAAATAAGTCTCCAGAAGAACATCCTGCTCACCCATGGCTCAGTCATGGAGCCACCTCTATCTCACTACCTGTGATGATCTTCACACTCAGTGGTAAAATCTCACTTCATTCCATTTTACTGTGGACTTAGGATCCTCTTGATCCAATAGTGATCTTATAGGAGAAATAAAAACTCAGATAAGAACTCACCATGAGGACCCTGTCTCTGCCACTGAAGAGGCCCCAGAATTGGTTAGGGGCTACCTCAGACTCACTAGACTTCATGGAAACATGAAAATGACCTTCGAGTTCCATGATAGAAAACAATTTCTTCCCATTGTCACACCGCTCTATGTTGCACATGACCGGTCCTCAATAAAAATAATTTTAGAGCTTCAAGACATCCTTTTGTCCAACCTTATTTTACAAAGACAAAGTAAGTCCAACATGCCAGTGTGAAACAATTCGGTAGTGGAGAAGCTAGGAGTAGAAGGAGACTGGACTTCCTCACTTTTCTTTAGCATTCTTTCCCCTGCCTTCTTCTTGCAGGATCGTATTGCTGAGCAAAGAGAATCTGTCTAGTGCAACCCAGCTGTATAGATCTCTACAGTTTGGGTGTGAGATTGTCGATTATTTTGAAGACTCAAATGGAGAATTCCAATTTGTGTAAATATTTGTTATCTTGGGAAGGACAGGAGACTCAGGCTGAGCCACTCTATTCTACCAGGAAACCACTACCAGCATCACTAAGACTTTTGTAAGAGTAAGCTGAAGATGATGCTGCCATCCCCAACATCTCAACAATGGATATATTTCTAAGGACTTTTCTGAAGATAGTACACATAGTCATCATCCCAGGTGGACACTCCTTGAGGCAGGATATGACTATAATGAGCATAACTCACACATTGTCAACAAAAATGATAATTGGAATTGGAAGACTCATGTGGCTGGGAGTCCGTGAAGATGATAAATAAAGGTTATCCAGGCCAAGCTTTGATGATAACTAAAGCAATATTCTAGGAAATAACCATGGAGCCGGGAATTTTGTCCAAGAGATGGCTATATCTATGCTATGGTTAATATATGAAACACTAGTTTTCACAAGAATGATCACATTCACTTCATTCTCTTCAGTTCTGCATGCCATACCTCAAAAGGACATGTATTGATCTGTCTTTCAAAGGAGGAAAATTTGTCCAGAGAAGAATTTGAGAAATCTTACCGTATGAAGAATGGGTGAGAGAATGGAAGAGCCTCAAGATCAAGAAGTTCTACATACGTAAAAATCACACATTTTATATATACACATATATTTACATAATGAGTGATATTCTTCAGCATCGCTGTCTTTCAATCATGAGATGTGGAAGAGAGATTGATTTACTCTTTGTAAATCCAGAGGACCACTGAGTTCAAATTAGGGGAGGAGCTCCCATTTCTCCAAAGGGGTCGTCTTGCTTTCCCAGGGACGGTTTCTCATGATTAGTTTTTTAACGTCAGTTCTGATTTGTACTATTCCCTTAGCAGACACAGGCCATATTTAGGCTTCCCTAGATGTATTCTCACAGAGGTTATCAGAAAATTCCAAGAAGTTAAAGTGTATGAGAAAAGATTTTTGGCAGAGAAAAATGATTCTGAAAACTCATAGGCCTGAAGGTCTTTATCAACATTTTGAGGAAAGAATACTGTAGTAGAGTTTGGGAGGAAAATGATGGAGTATGGGATCTGAGCCAGCAATGGTCAGGGA